AGTATTTATAAAGAGGGTGAGAGAGAGAGTGAGATAGAGGGGAGGTAGGGAGAGGATGATAAAGAAACTGAAAATAGTATTACCTAAAATGTGCAAATAAAGTGTACTGCACATCCTTGCCATGAATAGGTGCCACCATCTGAAATGCAATAATTTTTTTCTTCTTTTCAAGCTGGCATTATGCAATGCTTTTCTTAAACACTTGAAATTCAATAAGGCCAAAGATGATTTCATTTAATAATTTTATTATAAATGAAAATCAACAAAAATAAAAAATAAATCAGAACCAAGAACAAGTTACTGCAAAAGCCACATGAAGTAACATGGAATATTAACTTCAACAAATCTGTATGTCTTGCACCTGACATCTCTGTACACAGAATTTTTGGGTTATTTTCATGAGATTCCGCTTGCATGAGTGTTGAAACAAAATTTGCAAGTCTGAAATATTTTCTGATTGTGGATCCAGTCTTAGAACTCCTGAGATACTTTGGCTGCCTGCATAATGAAGCATCACCTGAAACATGGTGGTATCTGCAACTTTCTTATTTGATTTCTTCTTGTCACCATATGTGGAAAGGCAAATTAATCTTCAAATCAGCAATCTGCTATTCATAAATACATGGGTTATGTTTTTTTTTCATCATCTTATGATTGTCTAATAAATGTTATATGGTGTAATGAACAGAAATATTTTAGCACAGACCATCAAGCTCAATGTTTTTGTTCATTTTAAGAAAATATACATGCGGGCCTACTCTCAAAAGAAAAATAAATAATACAAAAATTATGGATAATGTATCACTAACTAGTGCTGCTTTCCTTTAGTCAGGTTTATTAAGAGTATGAAATTTCATGACAGGTAGTATCCCATACTATGATACCCACTGCACTCCTTTAATCTATTAACATAAATTTATTAAATCATTAGTGTAGTAGGTAAGAAAACGCTTCCTTTGAACAATCACAGTTCCTTAATAACCACAAATCAGTGACAAAATGTAATGACTTAACATAATGAACACATAGATATCAGTAATCTTTCCTATACGCAAAGGGGAGCAGGTGTAACCCTTGTCAAACCAAGACCACATATGGAATGACTAGAGTCCCAGCCAAGCCAACATGACAAAAAAGAAAAAAAAAAAAAAAAAAAAAAAAAAAAAAAAAAAAAAAAAAAAAAAAAAAAAAAAGAAAAGGGGGCCATGGCATACAATTGGGTTGATAAGGATGCCTGCTCAACCAATGGGTTAACAAAGACTCATTCAAAATAAATCAACTGATACAGACATCAGTTTATCTAGATAGTACTGTTAGATACCAGGCCTAAACATTGGATTGGCAAGATGTCTGTTTATGCCAGGACAGATATCAAACCAAGCCAACTGGTTGAGGACAAGTTACATTAAAGAATTGAAATTACCTATGAAGACTCAAGGGTCAATTATGACATATCAATACTTGAAAACTTTCATTTATCCATTATGGAAGAACCATTATTCTAATGCCTCATTACACTAGCTCCAATTGGATTGAACACACAATCAGCACTTTTGCACCAATTGTTAAAAGAGGCTGTTTCTCATCCTGAACACCAAACTTCTGTTTAGGTAATGATTTTCCTGGTTGGTAAAGCATAAAGATCAGCCATCATTACTTCCAGTGAATGATCAGAAGCATACTGCTCTGAAATTAAACATGCTGTTGAAATAGTAATGAACATCGTACATTCATAACTCCCACAAATCCTTTCCAAGGGGTGTCAATTAGGAAAATTTGGTACATGATCAATTTTCATTTGGTTAGATATCGCAGTTAATAAGCTGTTAATCTTGCACATATGACTTTTACTAACTAGACAAAAATTGTTACACAAAAATAAAAATTATAAAAATGAACTTGTGACCATCTTTAATTCCATTAAAAATCATACAATAACAACACTGCAAAACCTTTTAAACATTTCAGAATAATCTTTCATACAACTGCCCTAGGATGTGCATACTTACATATCTCTGCACTGAATGGCTCTCTGATAGAATGATAATCAAATCCAACTAATTAAGTAAAGGGGGGATAGAAAAAAATACAATAAGCAAGTAACAGATTAGGCTATGATAAATATAATAAAATCTATTGCAACAAAGAAAATAAAAGGACAGACATGAGGGAGGGGGAAGGAAAAATTGTAAAAAGAAAAAAGGGGAGGCATAGGATGGGGAAAGGAAAAGAGAAGAGAAGAGAGATACGAGACAAAAGGGGGAGGGATTATATGCAAGATTTCTATAAATCCACAATAATCAGTACGTAAAGATGCAATTTATTTTTTCTTTCTCCTCTTTTCTGCATAAAATGTACAGCATCTGTCATGTGAACAGTAATCCATCATCACAAAATCTCGAGCAGTCTGAGGTAAAGGAACTTCTGTTTTTGAGAGGCAAAAAATGCCGAGCTGAAAATACAAACAAAAATAATGGAATAGGACAGAAATGAAAGAGGTATTATAGATATATATTTTTTTCAGACACCATTTAAGTAGTTATTGAGCCTAAAGTTAAATTACTCATAGAAACCCCAAATTTTAAAATTTGTTCTCGAATTGTTAGTGTTACATCTTAGACAACAAATGCTTTGACAGCCTTCTGTTTCCTCCAAAAGTCGTCAGTTGCTTCTTTGTGGGTGGTAAATGTTGGTTATATCGAAAGCCGGAGTGCATGAGGGAAACTGCACGTTAATAATACAACCTGTATGACACTTCCATGGGTGATTTGTTGAAAAACTACAGCCAGCCAATTTTATTGACATATACACTAGATCATATGAAAAATCCTTGATTTTTCATGTTAGTATTTGAACATGGAAAAATAATTGATAAAAAAATGTGAAAATAAAACTTAATGGACATATACAATAACATATCTATCTATCCTTGATATCAGAATCCAAACAAAAGATTTGTTCCAGGTAGTTGCACCAGCCATATTCATGTTGACACTTACTGTTAATACAAGACTTCTTCCATCTAGAGTCAATATCAATATTAATACTGACAGTCCAGTCAACCATACAAATGGCAAACCAGGTTAGGCACACACTGCAGCTACAATTGTCCGCAAACAAAGGCAACCCAGATCAAGCATATAAAATAGGATAAAAAAAAAATTATAATTAAAAAAATAATTAATATGTAAAAAATAAGACAAAAAGTCAAAAAGATGAGGCCACTATTTTGGGCAACTACATTAAACCTGGATTACCTTAGTTAACCATGTGGATGAAGTTTTCTCTTTTCTTTTCATAGCAATAATAAAATAGAAATTCTAAATAACAGCTTAAAAAGAATTCTGCCAACTTTTTTTTAAAAGGAAACCTTCCATGCTGTGCCATAACTATGCTTCTGTCTCCAATGCTTATAATAAATGGCAAACCCTGACAGTGATATGAAAAGCTGACACAACAACTATAAAAAAGAAGAAAAAAGAACAATGAAAAGAAAAAAAAGAAAAAAAGAAAAAAGAAAAAAAAAAAAAAAAAGGGGTAAGCTGGATTGAAGTCCACACCCTCCTGAGGAGCAGTAGGCCTTATTTTTCTTTTCTATTCTTCTTTTTGTCTTCCCGTGATTATTCCTTTTCATGTTTTTAAGGTTCAGTGGCTTTGTGCATTCACAATTTAATTCAACAATATTTACAATTGTCTCTATGTATTCATATTCTTTTCTTTCTCTCTCTCTCTCTTTTTAAGAATGAACCTATAGTAACTGTTACAGTTTTCTTACCCTAACTGTTTTGTAATTATGCCCTTCCCTGTTGAATCACAATTGGCTTTTTTTTGTTTGTTTGTTTGTTATACAAAAGTTTGTGCTCCTGTGTTCTACTTGCCCCCAGCTAAGCTTGGTGTTCAATAGTTTCTTGTTTTTGTTTTTCCTTCTTTTCCTTGTGTAATGACTATTCCACTGCTCTCATGTCCACCTGACCACAGTTTCATCATCGATATAAAAAGAGAAACACTATTTTGAAAATTCCAACATACAAAAAGCATACAAGCTAAGTTTCTAAAACTTTTAATATATATATATTTTTTTCAGACTTTTTTTTAGTTTTTTTTTTTGTTTTTTAATTCTTTACTTAATATTTTTGACTCTACCACACGGGCACGTTAAGGAAAGTTGGGAGATCGGACATTTCTGGGAGTGTTGCCATAGCCCCATCTTCCGCTTCTTGCAGATGTTAGCCGTTTGTCTTTCTCTCTCTTTCCTTCCTTCCATTTTTTTTTTCTCCTTCTCTTTCCTTTCTTTCTTTCTTCTTTGTGTACCGCTCACTCGCTTAATCACTCCTCTTTGCGCTTGTAGAATCCTTCATTGTTAGTGAAATATTATTACTTAATTTTTTTATTTTTTGCATTTTTTCCTTTAATAATATTTGTAAAACATTTCTCATATCATGCACAAGGTTTTACTCTGGACTGACAAAGACGGCCAATTTTGGGGTTGGGGGTTATTCTTTAAACTTATCTTTTTTTTTGTTTGTTTTTTATTTTTTATTTTTTGGTTAATTTTTTGCTTATCATTATGAAAAATTTTCTTTTAAACATTCAGAGTCCTTTTTTTCTATTGATGATGTTATGTGCAATTGAGGTTCTGTATAATAATTACACAAAACTGAAGTGAGAATGACATGACCACTGATTCACACAAAGTCGAGAGAGAAATTTCTGGACTCGCGGTAGCTAGGAAGTTGGTGCGAAGATATCCTTTCAGGTGACGCATTCCGAGAACTGTACCTCCTCCTCCCAACTTTCAAAAATTAATAATAAAAAAATAAACAAATAAATGAAAAAAAATTAAACAAAAATAAAAAATAAAACATGAAAATAAAAAATAAATATAAAGCTATACAATTGAGAAAAAATGAAAATAAATTGTAACAATAATAAAAATAATAATAATATTCAGAACAAGAATCAAAATTAACACAATAAACAACAAAAAATAAACAAAAATAAAAAGTGGCAGAATTTAGTTGTCAAATGGCACTGGCATGAAGTTAACTTTCATGACAGTTATGGAAACAAATAGGTTTAATGCCATTAGGCTTATTTAGTCTACACAACACACAGTCCTCCTAGAACACAATGCACTTCCTCTTGCTGTTCCTACTTCCAATCCTAACCTTCCCACGACGTTCCCTCTGGAAAGATATTAGAAGCAATCAGTTTACAAGCTCATATTTTGATGCCAAAGAACACGCATGAACACACACACACACACACTTATTCCAAAGGCATCGAACACAAATATAATTATGAAACTTGCAACTATACCAGCACTGTAAAGCACTAAATCTAGTACATTACTCTCAAAAAGACATGCTTAACAAATTTTTATAAAGAAACTTACATCTTTCCTGATCTCTCTTACTAAAGTGTAGAAGGCATCGTCGACACCCATGCGGGTCTTGGCAGAGGTCTCAATGAAAGGAATGTCATAATTCTTGGCCACTTCTCGTGCCTGCTGCATGTCCATTGCACGCACCTGCAAGTCGCATTTGTTGCCCACCACTGTGCAAAAAGAGGTAATGGTCGTTAGGTATATGAAGAAAGATTTTAATTGCGCACACACACACACACACACGTGAACACTAGCACTTCTGAAAGATTAGAGTATTACCCCTTACATACACATAATAAGCACCATAATCATATAGTAAACATAAGATCAGTTAAAGGGAATAATGGATCGTAGAAGAAAAAAAACATACATACATATGCATTCCGTATTCCTTTCATTACCATCTATTTTAAATTGACATCATTAACATTACAAGACAACTCGGGAGCAGATAAAGAAAATTCATGTGCACCAGAAAAGGGAATATCATGGTACAATATGAACAGGATAAGAGCCCATTCAAGTTATTGCTTTTGCAAAGCATGAAGAAGCACTGAAATGTACAGCTAGAAAAAAAAAACTTTCATTACCTCTACCTGTAGTTGATTAACACGAGTGCTTTTCTGTGTTGTGAGTGGAGCATCTTTTAAGGCCATTCCATGGCTAGTGTTGCCATATGATGTTCTTATTACAATATTCAAGGAATGAGACTCATGAACCAGGTATTGTAAGCATGCGTTTCCATGACCACGCCCTGTTTTGTCTAAGTATTTTAATTGTCTTTTATCATCTAAAAAGTAAGCGTCTTTCATAATTTTACTCTTTATCATGACTTTGTTGACGGAAGAAGAAGAAGAAGAAGAAAATCATAGTATCACATACCTATTTAATAAATCAAATGAATAAACTGGTTTCAGTATAAATGGGTATAATGAAACACAAAATACAGTACTATATGACCTCTGGTGTCCATGGTATACATAAACCAGGAGCAGGTTTGTAAAGTTTTAAAGTCTGATATAAATGCTTTGGATGGATTGGCAAATATTTCTAAATTAACATGGACTGGGAATAGTATATGCACATTAAGCACCATGGAGACGTCCCAGTTTATGAGGATCTATTATTGCTCTTCATAACAACAGGTTTTTTTAGTGGCAGGGGGAGGGAATACAAATTATTGAAATTATACACCTGTATTATTTTCCATTTAATCACCACACTAACATTAAAGAGCAAATATATATCATAATAAAGAAATTCATACTAAGAGTTGAATTTTATTATACATCAGTGAGTGCTGCACAGAAATAAACATGGAAAATAAAAGTTGAAGATATGACCACTCACTTGTCATACTGTGACATCTAATAAATAAAAAAAGAGGCAATGGTGAATACCTGATTATGACTTTTCCATACGCAAAAAACAAGAATTTTCAGTGAGGTATTGTGCAAAAAAATATTTTGAAGTTTTCTCAATGTAAAGAACGTGACTGAAACTGAATTCTACTTGCCTCTCATTTCCCTGGAGGGATAGGCATGAAATAATAGAAACTGGCAACTACAGCCCTTATTTTTGCTCATATCCAAAATAGGGCATAAATGTGTCGACATTTAAGGAAATGAACGATTAGATAGTTCTCTTGTGCTACAGAAGAGTCCATCTCTTCCTTAGCTCCAAACAACTGCAGGAAATATAAACTTCAAGGAAAATTTATCCTTAGTCAGCACCACCACCTGGTTCTTAATTGCGCCACTCTTCACATTTTTGTTTACTATCTTTTAATATCATTATCATTATCATTACTTATTTTTATAACATTATCCCTTATTACTTTGAAACTTGGGTTTTACAAATTTTTTTTAATGACACATAATAATGCTAGAGTATCGCAAAACCTACATTTATAGGATTTCAGTGCCAAATAGCTTGCCTCTCTATTTCACAACACTTCACTGCTTTTTCATATTAGTTTGTGTAAAGGGTAACGATAGTTTTTTTTTCTGACTGTACAAGCCTTCCGTATAATTATAAGTTTACCTGCTCTTTCCTTTATTACTTTGTTTATGTGAAGTAGGAAATAAAACAATGTAGGGAAGAACAAGAAAATTCACATATATGCCGAAGGTCTTTCCACTACACTGCTTCCTCAGTGCATACTCAAGTGTTTTCTTGTCCTTTCCTTTGTTGTTCAATTTACAATTAGTGCAGAATGAATCCTGCACATGAACTTGCATACTGAAAAGGAGCTGTATACTTACAAACCATAGGTACCACATCTGCGTCCTTTACTCGTTTTATCTGTTCCCGATATGCACTTATATCCTCAAAAGACTTTGCATTGTTGACAGCAAAAACAAGTAGGAACCCTTCCCCAGTTCGCATATACTGGTCTCGCATTGCACTGAAAAGAAATGTTAAAAATTAGAAGGATAAATGGTATGTTTGTTTGATGAATGACCAAGCTCAAAATACAGTACTGAATTCTAATCTATTATGATCAACACAAAATAAACGATGAAATAAAAGATTGCTGAGATAATGTACTGTTCACTGTAGTATTATTTTCTTAAAATGTCACTGCACATAATGCTACAGAGGAGTCAATTAATACACCTTGTGACCTCACCTGATTTTACCTTTCCTTGCAGGAAAAACTAATGCTATCAATACTGATACTGATGTTATCATTATTGACATTATAATCTTTATATTGTGTGACATTATTAACAGCAATTCAAAATACCAAGAAATATTTCTGAAAATCAAGGTAAAGGGTAAACAGATAGGTAGTCCTCGTTGGCTAATTGGTGATTTAGTACTTATGGAGCCATCTTTATGTAAAGACAATTGATAAACCAACCTAAAGTGGGTATGGCATGTATGTACATACCATCCCCAGCAGCACTGGCTTAATGAGAAACAAGTTTTGCAGAAATATTAACCCATTAGCAACGGGTGTCCCATATATGAGATACCCGAAAAAAATAAACACGGCCGGGCGTCCCGCTAGTGTGATGCTGTACAGGGGCTGTGCTCCGACGCAGCAGTGGGTCTCTCATTGGAGATCCTTGTATTCACTACTCATTTTTCATTGTTCATATAATGCTTCGAGCTTTGAATATAAAACCAGATCTTTTTCTAAATCTTAAATATATTTCACTCTGACAATGAAATATGTTTCTCCAAAAGGAATGTTTACTTGTCACACAAAAGTTTGGGTAAATTCTTGGCCTTTTCTTGTCATGTGCAAAACTCTGGACAAACTCAATTAACCGTCAAAATAGAAGTATATTTTAAAATTCCCTTTTTCGATTTTGGTGCTACTTTCAACTTCAGATTCAATTTCTTTTCCTCGTTGACTCTCACTAGAAGATGACTTTATTTATAAGGCAGGTTTGCACTGAGAATTATTAAACAAGCAACAGGTAACTAGATGGAAGAAATTTTGTATTAACCCAAAAACAAGGGGTGTCCCACATATGAGACACCCGAAAAAATAAACATTGCCGGGTGTACCGCCAGTGTGACACAATGGCGGTCCACGGCTGGCGGGCGGACAGACTCCGGGGAAGCTCCGCCCGCCGATTTTGTAGCCGCCCGGAATCTTTTATTTTTGGCTTCAAAATATACCCGTGTTAATGGGTTAACAGTAGAAGAATAACTGCACTTGTAATACACACTAGATAGGGAATATCGACAGAACTGTTTGTTTAGCTGCTTGAGAAACTGCAGTGTTCATTTTGCTAACAGACGACATATTCTCTTGGCAATATAAAGTGCCAAGAAAAAGTCACACTTCTAACAACTAAAGGAATTTCATTGGTTCTGTATTACCATATTTGCTATGAAAAATTAATGTCATCCTTAATTTGTTTGCACTATGGTTTACATACAATCTGAAAGCCTGACCTCACACCAGTAATGAACCTCCTGGACTGAAGCAGTTACACATCAAAAGGTCATCTGAGTTGTGAATGTGCAATTGTTTGGGGCCTAATGATCCACTGATCATCTACAGCTGAAATCTATACCTTTGGCAAGTTGCTAAATACACACAAAGTCTGAAGTAGACAAGATTCTTGCACTTACCCATGTAGGCCTATCTTCCTTAACAGAATTCCCTCTTCCTCATACTTTAACATACTCTACCTTTGCCCTATAAATGCTGGCTTTTCCCCTTACATGTCCATATCCACCCTTTATTCAGCTTTCAGGTCATGTTAACATGCAGAAGTCCTTCTACTGTATTCTGATGAGCATAGTTCAAAACAAAAGTAACAAGATTTCTTCTTCATGGTCATAGAGAAAGAACTTTAATTTATAATTTAATTATAAAGCATGTAATACCTTTACATGGCTATATCTACACTGACACACTGTACATACAAATGCACATCTATATATGATCTGACATGTATAAGCAAGTGGAGAGATATTCACTCACACACACACAATATTCTTATCACAAAATATCATATAGTCTGACATTTCCTGTCCGAAAGATGTGTAATTAACTTTTATAATCTACAGACCATACACTGACAATAGTGCAACTACCTATATCTGAATAACAAAGAGGTACTGTACCTGTATTCTTCTTGCCCGGCT